CCCCCCCCCGGACGTCAGCTACATGGAACCCTTTGCTTCTGGCTGCTACCAAACCAAACACGCCGCCTGATCCCTTGTTTACAGCCCTGCACTCGGTTACAACCCTGTTTGCACAAATGGGCAGGACTCACACCTGAAGGATTTACAATGGACATCCCTTAGATTATTTGCCCACCGAAGTGGAGGAACTGACTGACCAAGCCAGACTGGGGCAAGTCAGGCCCAGAAGGAATAACAACAGCCCACACTTCGGGCTCCGCACAGTGAGCTACAGTCCACCCAGAGAAGGGTCATTCCCTCTCACAGGGACGTCCAAGACGCCAACTTTATCCTAGTGCTTCCAGCTCCAGATTAGGAAATTCCTGGAGATTTTGTTTTTTGGGGGTAGAGCCTGGGGAGGGCAGGGTTGGGGGAGGGAAAGGACCTCAATGGGGTATACGGCCACAGTGCCCGCCTTCCACAGCACCCATTTTCTCCAGGGGAATTCGTCTTTGTTGTCTGAGGATCGGTTAAAATTCCAGGAGATCTCCAGCCCCCACCTGGATGTTGGCAACCCCACTTTGTCCCCATATCCACTCTGGCAATGCGACCCCAGGGCCTAATATTGCCAGCCAGTTTGGTGTCGTGGTGAAGTGCGCAGACTCTAATCTGGGAGAACCGGGTGTGATTCCCCCACTCCTCCACTTGCACCTGGCTGGATGACCTTGGGCAAGCCGTAGTTCTGATAAGAGCTGTCCTTGAAAAAGAGCAGTTTGTGTCAGAGCTCTCTCAGCCCCACCCACCTCACACTTACTCAGCCCCACCCACTTAGGGTTGCCAAATGGTTTTTGGCCGGGAGCGGGGGGCTCCCGGCCGGCGTCTTAGGCATGCGCGTCACCCGGAAGTGACGTCGCCCGCTGGGGGTGGGGCTATGCCATTTGAGGGGAAAACTCTTTGTTTCCCCCTCAAATGGCGTGGCCCCGCCCCCAGCGGGCGACGTCACTTCCGGGTGACACGCACGCGGGGGTGGGGTTTCCCCCGGGCCCTGATTCCGCGGGAGCGGAAATCGGGGCTTGAAGGCGGGGGGGGGGGAATTCCGCCCCCCGGGGGCATTTGGCAGCCCTACACCCATTGCTGCTACTACTACTACTTCTTTTTCTTCTCCTTCGCCAGTTTGGTGTCGTGGTTAAGGGCGCGGACTCTAATCTGGGAGAACCGGGTGTGATTCCCCACTCCTCCACTTGCACCTGCCGGATGACCTTGGGCAAGCCACAGTTCTGTCAGAGCTGTTCTTGAAAAAAGAGCAGTTTCTGTCAAGAGCTCTCTCAGCCCCACCTACCTCACAGGGTGTCTGTTGTGGGGAGGGGAAGGGAGAGGAGTTTGTAAGCCACTCTGAGACACCTTTGGGTAGTGAAGGGCGGGGTATAAATCCAATCTCTTCTTCTTCTTCTTCTTCTCCTCATCCACTGGCATGCTCTCCAGTGCGTTATAGGCCATCATGTGCCAACAATCAATGCCTGTCTGATCTCCGTACTGGATAAACTGTTTAGTCTGCATGCAAAAGAATAAAGGTAAAGGTTTCCCTTGCTCAAAAGCCAGTCGAATCTGACCCCAGGGGGGCAGTGCTCATCTCTGTTTTCAAGCCGAAGAGCCAGCGCTGTCCGAAGACGTTTCCGTGGTCATGTGGCCAGCATGATTAAACGCCAAGGCGCACGGAATGCTGTTACCTTCCCACCGAAGCAGTACCTATTGATCTACTTGCAATTTCTTGCTTTCAAACTGCTAGATTGGCAGGAGCTGGGGCCAGAGACGGGAGCTCACTCCGTCATGCGGCACTCAGGTCTCAAACTGCTGAACTACCGACCTTCCACAGCCTGCAGTTCAGCGTTTTAACCTCTGAGCCACCATGCAAAAGAGTAAGTGGATGCAGATGAGATATTAATGCCTTCAGCATTCAGAGACCCCTGAGAGAACATCTCACTCTCCTCGGACACACTCTGTCACTGACTGGAAAGTCACAGTTCTTTGACGGAAGAAATTTCGAAGAGGGCTGCACGGAACGGCCAGATGGGGATTCCTTCAAGGGCCTCACATCGCCCCCCCCCCCCCCCTCTGGACCAGGAAAACCTGGGATGCCCCACCTGTTGCAGGTGTTACCTCACTCTGCATAACTAGTGAATGGTCTCTGTATTTCTTCCTCATTAGCATTAATTGCACACGATTTGTGCTTCCTGCATTGCAGGATCCTCTGACCCTGCTGCTCGTGTCCCCCCCCCCCCCCCCCCCCCCCGCTCCCCTGGCCCCCCCCCCCCCCAGCCCTCCTACACAAAAGGAATGCAAACCGAGAAGTCACCTCGACCACAAAAACCAAGGTTGGAATGAAATGGTGTTAGTACTTGTTAGATCTCAGCAGCTAAGCAGGGTTGGCACTTGGATGTGAAACCACCAAGGCCTCACCTGGAGTCCTGTGTCCCGTTTTGGGCACCACATTTTAGGCAGGATGTTGACAAGCTCGAGCGTGTCCAGAAGAGGGCAACCAGGATGGTGAGAGGGTTGGAATCCACGTCTTAGGAGGAAAGGCCGAAAGAGTTGGGTATGTTTAGCCTGGGAAAGAGAAGGCTTAGAGGGGACATGATTGCAGTCTTCAAGTATCTGAAGGGCTGTCATGTAGAAGATGGAGCGGATCTATTCTCTCTTGCTCCGGATTGGGTGGAAATTACAAGGGAGTTGATACTGTCTAAATATCAGGAGAAACTTCCTAACTGTAAGAGTGGTTGAGCAGTGGAACAGTCTGCCTTGGGAGGTGGTGGATGCTCCTTCGCTGGATGTTTTCAAGCAGAGGCTGGACGACCATCTTTTGGGTATGTTGTAGCCACCTCCGCTTCTCACATGCCTGGAAAGCCCCTTGCTGGGGTCTCCATAATGCCAGAGAGCCCACCCTCCACAGCAGCCATTTTTCTCCAGGGAACTGATCTGGGTCGCCTGGCGATCAACTGTAGTGGTGGGAGATCTCCAGGTGCCACCTGGAGGTTGGCAAGCCTAGCCTGAGACCCTGGAGATAGAGCGGCTGCCAGTCTGAGTCGGCAATACTGACCTTGATGGACCGAGGGTCTGATTCAGGATAAGGCAGATTCATGTGTTCGTGTGTTCGATGAATGCCTGGGATCTCTCTCTCTCTCTCTCTCTCCCCCCTCTCTCCAGTCACAGATGTACCCACAAACTCCATCTTTTCTTCCACCCAACTCTTCCTGCAAGAAAGGGCAAAGGGAGGGACCGTCTCAAGGCCCCAGTCTTAGATGGAGCTGGAAAAGTGCAGCATTTCTGTCCGCCCACCTTTTGCTCGGCCGGCCGGCCAGGTTTCCCTTTCCAAACAACACAGTTCAAAACAGATCGTTTCCCATGCTAATAAGCACCAGGGGAAAGGCAAGAAAGCAATGGGGGCAGGGCAAGCGGCAGGCTAGGGTTGCCAGGTCTGGGTTGGAAAATACCTGGAGACTTTGGGGGTGGAGCCAGGAGAGGGCGGGGTTTGGGGAGGGGAGGGGCCTCAGCATAGTACAATGCCATACAGTCCACCTTTCAAAGCAGCCATTTTCTCCAGGGGAGCTGAACTCTGTCAGCTGGAGATCAGTTGTAAAAGCGGGAGATCCCCAGGCCCCACCTGGAGGCTGGCAACCCTACGGCAGGCTCTCGGGGATAGCGGATGAACATGCGGATACACCCGGGGAGGGACCTCGGCAGTGTACGGTGCCACGCTGGAGCCCACCCTCCAACGCAGCCGTTTCCTCCAGGTCTCTGCCGTCTGGAGCAATGCTCCCTCTAAGCTGCGGAGTCTTGTGAGCAAAAATTCTACATTGTGAACTACTGGCATTAAAGCTGTGGGCGAGGGATTTGGCCACTGCATACATTCGTTTGCTTTGGAGCCATCCCTTCCTGAGCAAAGACAAAAGTGTGTGAGCTGGAGGCTAAGAAACTGTGAGTTTAGCTCACGCTAACTCAGCTTAGAGGGAACACTGGTCTGGAGGTCTGGGAGGGCTCCCGGCCCTAACCGGAGGTTGCCACCCCTGCCTAAGTGTGCTCATCCCTGCCCCAGTCCACCTGTTGCTGACCATCAGTGGGAACTTCTCCTGGCCCACTCTGGTTGTACACAGCAGCTGCTCAGCACCAGGTCAGGTGGACACGTGAGGCCGTGGAGAAGAGCCCCTTGCCTGAGGCTGGTTGGGGCCCAGCGACCAAACTTGGAGGACTCAGGCCAAGGAATCAGGGTGCAGCTGCAGAGTGAAACTGTGCAGAGCAGATGGAACTCTCTGCCACGGGATGTGGCTGGACCATTGTTCCCTCTAAGCTGAGTTAGTGTGAGCTAGCTCACAGTTTCTCATATCTTTAATGCCGGTAGCTCACAAAGTAGGATTTTTGCTCACATAGAGGGAGCATTGGCCTGGACCCGGAAGAAAGATGGGAGATTTCCAAGGGTGGCACATGCCAGATCTGGAGGAGAGGAAGGGACCAGGCAGGCGGCCTGGCAGCAGATTGCTCAACGGAGGTTCCTGCTGGGGCTCTGAGCCGCTCCAGGCTTTGGCACAGGATTCCGGCACGTCTTTCCCAAGAGCAGGGGAGGGAGGAGGTGGACCTCCCCCCCCCACCCCCGGGGCCTCATCAGCCCTTCCACGTGAGCAGAAGGAGAACATTCTTCAGAGTCACCACCCGAGCAGGATGCCGGTGTCTCAGAGGAAGAGGACGGACTGCCCGGATCTTGTGGCGCTGGGCTCCTGTGCCCCTGAGCACTCCTTGGGCAGTGCAGTTCCTGTCGGCTCCTGCCGCAGTTTTATTCTCGGAGGCTGCTTTGGAGCCGCTCTTCCTGCTCCCCTGGGCGGTGGACGTAGGTGGCACGCGTCGTGCGTGGTGGCTCATTAGGGACTGGAATCCGGCGGCCCAGTGGGCGGGCCCCGTCACTCACCGGCAAGCTCTTCTCTCCCCGCCCAGAGTGGCCCCACCCGGGCAAGGGTTTATATCCTGCCCTGAATGGCTCAGGCCCTGCTGGCTGCCTGCCTGGAGCTGGTTCCTGGCCCCACCATGAAGCCCGGGGGCCTCTTGCTCATCCTGGGGTCTTTTGCCCTCTGGGCTGAGCTGTCGGCGGCACCAACGAAAGGTGAGGAGAGGCAGGAGCTGCACCTGGACTCTGGTGGGTGGGGAAGCAGGGCCGGGGCACCTGGGCCATGGACAACAACCTTGTGAGAGAGGACTGAGGTGTGCCCATGCAGACAACTATGAGTGGGACATTACGGGTGGCGTTGCAAAGCATGCTGGGGTCAGTAGCATGTGCATGCCTGAGAGTGAAGAAGAAGAAGAGATTGGATTTATACCCCACCCTTCACTACCCAAAGGTGTCTCAGAGCGGCTGACAAACTCCTTTCCCTTCCCCTCCCCACAACAGACACCCTCCTGTGAGGCAGGCGGGGCTGAGAGAGCTCTTGACAGAGACTGCTCTTTTTCAAGGACAGCTCTTATCAGAACTATGGCTTGCCCAAGGTCATCCAGCCAGGTGCAAGTGGAGGAGGAGTGGGGACTCAAACCCAGTTCTCCCAGATTAGAGTCCACACACTTAACCACCAGAAGAAGAAGAAGAAGAAGAAGAAGAAGAAGAAGAAGAAGAAGAAGAAGAAGAAGAAGAAGAAGAAGAAGAGGACAAATTCCTTTCCCTTCCCCTCCCCACAACAGACACACCCTGGGAGGGAGGTGGGGGCTTAGAGAGCTCTGACAGAAATTGCTCTTTTTCAAGGACAGCTCTTGTCAGAACTACGCTTGCCCAAGGTCATCCAGCCAGGTGCAAGTGGAGGAGTGGGGAATCAAACCCGGTTCTCCCAGATTAGAGTCCGCACACTTAGCCACTACACCAAACTGGAGAGTGGATTTGGGTACCTTTTTTGGAGTTTAGAGGGACTGCTTATGTTGGTGGAGCACCAGCAAGGGAGCAGGATTGTTGTCTGTTGCAATTTTACTGCATGCATCACTTTGTTTTACTGCATTGTCTCATACCCTTGGACGCCACTTCCTGCGTCCTTATGGCGTGTCATGCCCTAGACAGGTTTTTTTTATTAAAAATTGCTCTGCTTCCTAAGTCTGCAATCCTCCTCCCATTACACTGTTTATTGGATGTGTCATTCTGTCTGGCCAGGAAAATATCCGGCTGCCCTCAACCAGAGGCAGGGCCCTTTTGGCCCCGGTGCCTACTTGGTGGAACTCCCTGCCGAATGACATCCGGGTCCTGCAGGACTTAATGCGATTCCTCAGCCCCTGCAATTCAGAGATGTTTCGCCAAGCGTAGGGCTGAGGACAGCAATGGGTTCCATCTAACCTGCCTCCTCTTCCCTCCTCTCCCCATCGAGGCGGGAAAGGACATTAAATTGTATACATACAGAGAGAATAAAAACAACAATAAATAATTTAAATAGCTGCGGTGGCTCAAGTGGTTAAGATGCTGAACTGCAGGCTGGCACCGAGGCTGCACCTACTCGGGGTTCGTCAGCGTTCCCTCTAAGCCGAGTGAGTGTGAGCTAGCTCACAGTTTTTCAGCCTCCGGCTCACACATTTTTCTCTCGGCTCAGGAAGGAAGGCTCCAGAGCAAACTGATTGATGCAGCAGCCAAATCGCTGGTTCACCACTTTAATGTTGGTGGCTCGCAAGGTAGAATTTTTGCTCACAAGACTACTCCACAGCTTAGAGGGAGCCAATGGCCAGTGGCAATTCCTCCGGAGATCTCCGTACCCCACCTGGAGGTTGGCCACCCCATGGAGGAGGGTGCAGGGCCCAATCCGTCTTGCAAGCGACCGGCAACTCGGCACAGCTCTTTCCTTTCCTAACACAGCCAGCTTCTCCTCCCAGGCAAGGGCAGGCCGACGTGCCCAGGGGACGAAGGCTGCTCCGCCAGGCAGGCACACACTGCAGGCCTCTGGCTGCCACTGCTGGTGAGGCTTCCTTGGCCCCTGAGGGGGGGGGCTGCCCTTGAGCCAAGTGGAGCTCTAAGAGGGACTGGGCCCTGCCCCGGTGCCGGGCTGCCTGCGGGGCCTGCTCTTTGTGGGCCCCTGCTCAGTGCCAGCCGCACAGCGTGTGGGATGGAGGTGGGGTGGTGGTGGTGGCAGAAAAGCCAGCCAGTGGGGGAGTGGATGGTGGAGGGGGAGGAGGAGGGGGGGGCATGCCCGCAGAGTGATCAGGCATCCCTCTGGCTGGGTGTGTGTCTCTCTTGGAGGTTGGCCTCTGAAGGAGAGGCGGGGGGGGTGATTCTGGGGAGCAGAGATCCTGACCAGGGCCATGAACCCCTGCAGGGCAGGCACGAGGCTGCGGCTCCATCTCATGCTGCCTCCCAGCAGGTATACAAAACTGGCCTCCCTGATTACTGGGTGTGTGTTTCGGGGGTGCGTGCCTTTCTCTAGGGGAGCAGAAGCCTCCCCTGGGCAAGAATTCTTCCCGGAGCCTGGTTAAGTGCGCAGACTCTAATCTGGGAGAACCGGGTTTGATTCCCCACTCCTCCACTTGCAGCTGGCTGGATGACCTTGGGCAAGCCGTAGTTCTGATAAAAGCCATCCTTGAAAAAGAGCCGTTTCTGTCAGAGCTCTCTCAGCCCCACCGACCTCACCGGGTGTCTGTTGTGGGGAGGGGAAGGGAAAGGAGTTTGTCAGCCGCTCTGAGACACCTTCGGGTAGTGAAGGGCCATGGGGTATAAATCCAATCTTTTCTTCTTGGGCAGAGCCAGTCTGGTGTCGTGGTGAAGTGCGCGGACTCTAATCTGGGAGAACTGGGTTTGATCCCCCACTCCTCCACTTGCAGCTGGCTGGATGACCTTGGGCAAGCCAGAGTTCTGATAAAAGCTGTTCTTGAAAAAAGAGCCGTTTCTGTCAAGAGCTCTCTCAGCCCCACCTACCTCACAGGGTGTCTGTTGTGGGGAGGGGAAGGGAAAGGAGTTGGTAAGCCGCTCTGAGACGCTGAGTGAAGGGTGGGGTATAAATCCAATCTCCTCCTCCTCCTCCTCCTCCTCCTCCTCTTCTTCTTCCTTCCAGCCAGGTGCCATCTGGCATCATGCTGGACTACGGAGAGCTGAGTGTGTTCCTACAATCATCTGTTCACATCAGGGTTACTTAGGGCTGCCAAGTCCCCCCGGGGGGTGGGGAAACCCCCGCCCGGGAGGCCCGTTCCCTGGCGCGGCCGGATCGGGCCCTGGGGGGAACCCCACCCCCAAAGCACGTCACAGGGAAGTGAGTGACGTAAGCATATCGGGGACATTGGGGGCGGGGCGGCGCGCGCGGAGAGTGCACGCGAAGACTCCTGGAGCTAGCCTGGACTCCCCCGCTCCGGGACAGGTAAGGAGTTGGCAACCCTAGGGTGACTCAGTAGCAAAAGGAATTCACAAAACCAAAATAGGACCCATGGTAAGTAGGAAATACCAAAAATCAGCAAAGACCGTGCTACAGACGATTATAAAATATCTCAAATAATTTTTATATATATTTTTTGTTTTCTATTTTTACAATTTATTCACCATTTATTATTTATCATATAAGCCTAAATACATAGAAAGAATCATATATCAAACATCCAAGTATCGTCTCTTAATATATCACAAAAGATATTGCACAACCCCTTTATTAATATAATTCCTCCTTAATTATACAAAAGTTTTGAGAGGGAGGACTCCTTTGTCTATTTAGAATAAGTGCTCAGTCTTCCTCCAACAGAGGTCCTGATATCCTCCCGTTTCAGTGTCTTCAGGGAGTTCAACAGATATTTCCAAGCACGAGGTTGCCCAATAGCAAAATAGTTATCCAAATTTCACCAATGAACACTGCAAAAAGTCTCTCTTAGTCAGCTCAAAGCTTCCTCCAAAGTGAAAAGCAAGTTTTGATATATTATTCTTTCTATGTATTAAGGCTTATATGATAAATAATATATGGTGAATAAATTGTAAAAACATAAAACAAAAAATATATTAAAATTATTTGAGATATGTTATCATCGTCTGTGGCACCGGTATTTGCTGGTTTTCAGTAGTAAAAGGGGCAGACTCCCTCTCGGAAAAGATCCTGCAGTCACTCTGTGTGTGTGTGTGTCCTTACTACGGTTAATGAGGAGTGGCAGAGAAGTCACAAAGGTTTCACTGTCCTGTAACATCTGGACTACGTCTGGAGCACTAACATCAGGCCGCTCACCTGTGCTTCATATTACCTGTACCTTCTCTCTCTTCCCTTCGCACAGACTCTGCTGGGTCCTCACCTCTCCCCCAGCTTGGCGGCACAGGGACGCACCAGCCGGGGGAAATCCCATCAACGGACGAAGGCAGCAGACTCCCCTCTGCAGTGAAGAAGGACGCCCGCGTGCTCCAGACGGACCCCGTGCCGGGGGGAGACCCCCTCCCCTCAGAAAGGCCTGCCTGCAAGAAAGGACTCGGGAACAAAACGGAAGCGGGGTCTGCTGGGAAACCCCTCTGCGGTGAAAAGCCAGTCTGTGCTGGGAAGCTGGCACCTGCCGGGGCGCACCTGGCGCATCTCTCCCCCACCTCCGACGGAAAGCTGACTTCTGGTTGTGACGAGCCCACGTCTGGGGGAATGGCCTCGTCCGACTCTGGCCACGCGACTCCTGGGAAACCCCCCCAAGCTGGGAAGCCGGCCCCTCACAACCAGCCAGGATCCAGCGAGAAACCTGCGGCCGAGAAGCCTCAAGCGGAGGAGGAACCGGAGGAGGATGCTGGGGATGGGGACGGTGATGGCAGTGAAGAAGAGGAAGAAGGTGATGACGATGACAATGATGAAGACGAGGAGGAGGGGGACAGATACGAAGGTCTCAGTTCCATCTTCAGTGAGGACAATGACGAGGGAAAGGAAGACACCTTCGACCACGAACTCGATTACGGGCTGGATCAGTCCCCCCTCAACAGCGACGAGTACCACGACTGGTGGGGTGGGGGCGAGGCTGAGGAGCTGGAGGCCAGACCCAAGGGGGAGGGGGAGGAGGAGGGAGGGGGTGCCGATGCCTTTGAGGAGCCCGTGTTCGATGTGTGGGGAGACCCTGTGGAGAAAGGATCCAGGCCTGAGGCCCGGTCTGGCGGAGGCCGCTTCTGAGGAAGCAGAACGAGAGCTTGGGAGGGGGGCGCTGCCAGACCCCCTGCTCCTGAGGTACCAGGGGGGGGGGTCCTCTCCTAACCGGCAGCCTTAACTCCAGTACCTAGATCTTAACATGGCTCAGTCAAGCAGTGAGGAAGCTTTTCGGGGACGTGCCTGGCTGCTTCTTGCTCCTACTGAGGGCTGCTGGGAGCAGGGGGTGGGGCTTGTTGCATGTGCCCGCCCCCTCGGGCTCTTTACTGCCGGAGTTCCGCTCCTGTGCGCTCCCGCGGAAAATGACCCCTGAGTGAGTCTATAGGAGGCTTTGCTCTGTGTGCTAGGTAGAGAATTTGGGCTTCTCTCTTCAAACTGGTGTGTGTGTGTGTGTGACTCCCAATTTCCTGGCACCTTTGGAGTCTGGACTTCCAGTATTCATGATTTCACATGTGTGTGTATGCGGTGTGTATGTGTGTGTGAACTTCCTGACAGTCCAGGCAGCCTTTCCATTACTGTGTCTTTGTGGCAGTCTGGCCCCACTGCTGGACCTCCTGACAGCACCTGGTATTTTTTGGCCACTGTGTGACAGAGTGTTGGACGAGATGGGCCATTGGCCTGATCCAGCATTGGCTTCTCTTATGTTCTTAAGCATAACATTTTCCCAGAGCAGGGAAGGAGCAGAGAGCCCAGGTCAGACCTCAGCATCAATCAGGATGAAGAGGGTACGTGTTTGGAAGAGCCAATTGGAGAGCCAGTCTGGTGTCGTGGTTAAGTGCGCGGACTCTAATCTGGGAGAACCGGGTTTGATTTTTCACTCCTCCACTCGCACCTGCTGGATAACATTGGGCAAGCCGTAGTTCTGATAAGAGCTGTCCTTGAAAAAGAGCCGTCTCTGTCAAGAGCTCTCTCAGCCCCGCCTACCTCACAGGGTGTCTGTTGTGGGGAGGGGAAGGGAAAGGAGTTTGTGAGCCGCTCTGAGACTCCCTTGGGTAGTGAAGGGCAGGGGATAAATCCAATCTCTTCTTCTTGGAAGCGCTGACGGACTCACATTGCTTCTGGGAGGAGCCGCTGGAGCTTCGTGGTGGTCGGAAGTGCCGTCAACTTGCGGCTGGCTTATCGCACCCCCGTCGGGTTGGCCGTTGCCTGCCTCTGCGTAGCAGACCTGGATTTTCTTCCTCAGGGGTTTCCCGTCCAAGGACTAATTGGGGCCGGCTCTGATTAGCTTCTCAGATCTGGTGAGATCCGGCCAGCCTGGGCCCCCCAGGTCGGGGCAGAGACAAGCAGAGGTGGCTTCCCTATCGCCTGCCTCCGTGTGGCAGCCCTGGGCTCCCGTGGAGGTCTCCCATCCAAACACTAGCCAGGGCTGACCCTGCTTCGGTTCTGAGATCTGCCGAAATTGGGTTAGCCGGGGCCATCCGGGTCAGGGCGGGAGCCTTGCGGCTGGTCTGAAGCACACTTCCCTTTCTGCAGAAACTGTTCTGTTTCAGCCCACAAGAAGAGGCAGGGCACCATGTGCTGGGAAGATTTCGCAAGAGGACTTCCTGGTGGTTCATGTGGAGGAGTTGTGGCCGGGTTCCACCCCCGGCATCTTCGGCTGGAAGGAACAGCCAGCAAGTGGTGTGAGAGTCCTCCGCCGGAAACCCCAGAGAGCGGCTGCCAGCCTGAGTAGACAAGACTAGCGCCAGCGTGGTGGTTAAGAGCAGCAGACTCTAGTCTGGGAGAGCCGGGTTCGATTCCCCCACTCCTCCTCCACTTGCACCTGGCTGGATGACCTTGGGCAAGCTGTAGTTCTGATAAGAGCTGTCCTTGAAAAAGAGCCATTTCTGTCAAGAGCTCTCTCAGCCCCGCCTCCCTCCCGGGGCGTCTGTGGTGGGGAGGGGGAGGGAGAGGACACCTTTGGGGGGTGAAGGGCCATGGGGTATAAATCCAATCTCTTCTCTCTCTTCTTCCACGTGCAGCCAGCTGGGTGACCATGGGCCAGTCACCGCTCTCTCGGGTGCCTGTGGTGGGGGGAGGAAGGGAAGACGATTGTCAGCCAACTGGAGACTCCTTAAGGTAGCGAAAAGTGGGGCACAATAAAGACTGCTCCTTTGTCCCGGAGACTGGAAGGGTTTCAATAGGAGGCAGCCTCATCTAGAGCTCAGGGCTTGGCCCGCAGAAGGTCCCCGGTTCAATTCCCAGTAGCATCTCCAGGGAAAAGAAGCAGGCAGGAGGTGATACGAAAGGTGTTTTTCAACCCCAGACTCGGGAGACATGACTGAGAGCAAAACTAAACTATACGTTTTTTAAGAGTTGGGTCTGGGTTCCCCAGGTCCAGTTCATGTTCCCTGCAGCCGCCTTGGCAGCTGCGAGCACTGGCTCTGTGTGTGTGAGAGAGACCGACCAACCGACCAACCAAATGGGCTTGGACTGGCACTAGGGGGGGAAGGGTTCCTGCCTCTCCCATTTTGGTGCCGTGGTTAAGTGTGCGGACTCTAATCTGGGATAACCGGGTTTGATTCCCCACTCCTCAGCTTGCACCTGCTGGATGACCTTGGGCAAGCCGTAGTTCTGATAAGAGCTGTTTTTAAAAAAGAGCCATTTCTGTCAGAGCTCTCTCAGCCCCACCTACCCTCTACAGGGTGTCTGTTGTGGGGAGGGGAAGGGAAAGGAGTTTGTAAGCCGCTCTGAGACTCCTTTGGGTAGTGAAAGCTGGGGTATAAATCCAATCTCCTCCTCCTTCCTCCTCCCAAGCCAATTTCCTATGCAGAAACCATGGCGGGGTGAGTTCTTGCTTCGGTTTCACTGCTCTGTGGTTACACATGCAGAGTATCTGTGCAGACCCAGGGCAATAACTCCCTCCAGCACAGTTTTTGGCCAGGAAAATACCTGGAGGGGGAGGAACCCTCAATCCCTCCCTCTGTGGTGCTGTTCCAAAAGGGCTCTAATATATATTTTTTTAAAACAGAAGCCGTTCCCCAAGACGAGTTGTGTGTCCCAGGAACCTGGACCCAACTCTTTAAAAAATGTAGTGTCTAGTTTGGCCCTGCCTTTGTCAGTAGAAGGCAGCCATTGCTCTGAATGTTCCCAGAGCTTCCCTGGTGCTTCTATTCTCACAGCCCTGGGGCAGGCCTGGCTCCTGGTCTGGTGGGGCCGCTTGCCCTGATGGAGGACGAAGGGGAGGGGGCGCTCCCTGCCTTTCCGCATCAAGGCCAAGCGCCGAAGAATAGATTCTTTTGAACTATGGTGCTGGAGAAGACTCTTGAGAGTCCCTTGGACTGCAAGAAGATCAAATCAGTCAATCCTAAAAGAAATCAACCCTGACTGTTCCCTGGAAGGCCAGATAATGAAACTGAAGCTCAAAGACTTTGGCCACCCAATGAGAAGGGAGCACTCCCTGGAGAAGAAGGCCCTGATGCTGGGAAAGATTGAAGGTCAAAGAAGACGGGGACGGCAAAGGATGAGATGGTTAGACAGTGTCAGAGATGCAACGAACATGAAACTGAGCAAACTTCAGAGGACAGCGGAAGACAGGAGGGCCTGGCGGGATCTAGTCCATGGGGTCGCGAAGAGTCGGACTCAACTGTGCGACTGAACAACAACAAATCCAAGACTGAGGTGGAGCAGTTCTTGGTAATTGCAACAGATGACCGCTTGGGGGCAGCCTTCTTCAGCCACTGAAGCAATACCAGCTAATCAAGGGTTTAATTGGCCTTTCCAGTCTTCCCTGGGTTACCTGTTTCTTTTAAGAATCACAAAGCCCACATGCGTTCTCACCGTGGGAGTCCCACATTATCCCTTCCGACCCTCTAAGCTGAGTGAGTGTGAGCTAGCTCACAGTTTTTTAGCCTCCGGCTCACACATTTTTGTCTTTGCTCAGGAAGGATGGGGCTCCAGAGCAAACTAACTGATGCAGTGAGTAGCCAAATGGCTCGCTCACAACTTTAATGCCAGTAGCTCGCAAAGTAGAGTGTTTGCTCACGAGACTCCACGGCGGAGAAGGAGCATTGCTTCCGACTGCCAGGGACATAATTGATTCACTGAGGTTTTACGGACCCTCCAGAAGACTTTAGGGTCGAAGTCCTGCACCGGAATGCTGCCCTGCTGCGTCCCGTCTTTTAAAACTGGTGTACGGCATTCCCCCCTCCCCTTTAAGACAATTGTGATGCCACATGATCTAGAGTGGACTTTCCAGGAGAGCTAGCTAGAGGCCTGCCGTGTGTGTGTGGTATGTGACATCGGTGCCAAAGCCCAGTTTGCCTAGTTGCTATTCTTACAACATAAGCTCCCGGAAGACATCAGAGCCCTGCAGGACCTCTTACAGGTCCTCAGGGCCTGCAAAACGGAGCTCTTCCATCAGGCCTTTGATTAGGAGCCGCTACCAATAACAACTGAACTGTGATAAGGCCCTCTATGTCAACACCAACAGCCTGTGATGTCAACAGCAACAGCCTTTGGCCATACTCTTTGAGCCAGTTTGGTGTCGTGGTTAAGTGCACAGACTCTAATCTGGGAGAACCGGGGTTTGATTCCCCACTCCTCCACTTGCAGCTGCTGGATGACCTTGGGCAACCGTAGTTCTGACAAGAGCTGTCCTTGAAAAAGAGACGTTTCTGTCAGAGCTCTCTCAGCCCTGCCTACCCTCTACAGGGTGTCTGTTGTGGGGAGGGGAAGGGAAAGGAGTTTGTAAGCTGCTCTGAGACTCCTTCAGGTAGTGAAGGGCGGGGTATAAATCCAATCTCCTCTTCTCTTCTTCTTCTTCTTCTTCTTCTTCTTTGTTACCATCATATCGTATCATGGCCTAGTGGGATCAGTATGCAATGTTACCGCCACCAGCACTTTATCTGTTATTTCTTATCTGTTATGTATATGAGTTTCGTGATGGCACATTGTGCTTAATGCATTTGTGTTTTAAGGCATTTTAACTGTTTTAATGTAAGCCGCCCTGAATCTGCCTCGGTAGGAAGGGTGGTATACTAGTAGAAATAAATAAATAAATAAATAAATAAAATTACATTGGCTCAAATCCCACTGGAGCAGTAATG